AGATGTATATAAATAATTAGTACAAAGGACTAATGGATTATGCAGACCTCAATTTTTATGATGCTTAGGCCAGAATTAGTTGTTCCCTAGCTACCACTCCTGACCACTCTAAAAGGGATCATAGTAGGAGACCCTGGTACAGAGTGTGTGAAGGCCTTGGAAATGAATAGAATGAAGAAAAAAAAAATTTAAGGGCCAGGCTTAGTCACAAAAAGACCATCAGAATATTGTGAAAATATTGTTAAAAGCAAAGTTGGGTGGAGGGAAAAGCAATATACAATAAGAGGTTGATGAGAGATTGTGATTAACTAATTACAGTAATCAATGACAATATTCTAAATTAAAATGTGTATGAGTGATTACGTCCTAAGTATGACATACTTTGGACATGATGCAAGGTGGGACCAGTCCTTGCAGTGGGACATCATGCTTGGGAGGGTGGAGGAACAGTGCAAGAGAGGAAGACCCTCGATGAGGTGGATTGATTCAGTGACTGGGGTAACAGAGGTAGGTGTGTCGGAGACAGTACGACTGGCACAGGATAGAGCAGGGTTTAGGGCTGTTGTACATAGGGTCACTATGAGTCGCAGGCAACTTGATGGCACATAACAACAACAACATGAGTGATTATATGAAAAATCAACATGATTTATAAATCTTCACTCTTTTTTTTTTAAAGAAGAAAGGCTTAGGGGTTGAGGGAAATTGGAAGAATCTGGTCTGAAAAACAATATATTTGAATTTTGTAAATACTAAGAAAAAAATGAATGAAAATCTAACTTTTGGGTAAACTTTCATTAAAATTGTAATAAAAATAAATTTTATATAAAAAGAAAAAAAGAAGACAGGCTTACTGTTCTTCTAGAAACTGGAAGAACCTGTAGTTATTCTTTGAAGTGGCTCAAGTTTCAATCAAATGACAGAGGCTGAGAAAGTGACCAATAATACCAAGAAGGCATTCACTCCTAGAATAACCAACAGCAGCATTTGCCCAGGGAAAATACCCTGTAAGAAGGAAAGAGTAGGACAGATGAATTCATAGAAATGGAGTTTAGAGGTAAAAGTATATTTTTACATTGTGGGTATTGCAATTAATATTCTAGAACAAAATTAATAAGAATTGCTGAATGAAAAACTAATCTGCTGATAAACTTTCACTTAAATTGTAATAAATATGAATGAATAGAAATTGCCTGAGTGTGTGTCCATGTTTTACACAGAAGGCAGATTTACACAGAAAGACTAAACTCCTGGGGCAGGCAATCCAGGTTCCAAAGAGCGATTCTGGGCTCCAATTTACTGATGTAAGGATGAGAGAGACCACCTTGTTTGTCCTCAGCAAACATTTCACACAAATCATGTGGACCAGCCACTCTCTCCAAGCCCCAATTGGAGATTCTTGGGAAGATGCCCTGTCAAGTCACTAACATTTTTCATAGATGTTGTGAATGAATGGAATGAAAACCATTTTCCATCTCAGCTCTAACACTCTGTCTCCTTCTCACCACTGCTGTGCAGACCTGAGGAAATGAAGGCCAAAGTGGTCGCCCAGAGACAGGACAAACAAGAAACAGAATTTCAGACAGACAAATTTTCAAATCCCTGCAAATCTGTAATCATCTACCTATAATTAAGAGATTCTGAAGAGAAACATGGTGGGTCAGAGAAAGACTCTCAACAAGATGGATTTGACAACGTGACTGTAACAATGGGCTTGAACGTGAGGATGGCACAAGGCAGGACAGAGTTCAGATCAAAAGACAGGGTCACTATGAGTCATAGTCAACTTGATGGCACCTAACAAAAACCACTCATAAATAAATATCCAATGTTTAAAAGACTAGACCCTAAGGGAGCTCTGGTGGCCTAGTGGCAAGAAGCTGCACTGCAATCTCAGAGGAGTGTGGTTTGAATCCACTAGAAGCTCTGCCGGAGGAGGGGCGATCTCCTCCTGTACCAGTCAGATCCAATTTGATGGTACACATACACACAAAATACTGGACCCTTTAGAAATTGCCAATCATCCCAACATGACTGATGAAGAAGAATATGCCTTCAGGATTGCAGCAGAGCTTCTTGCAACTCGGCCACCAGCACTCCTTTTATTAAACAAAATAATGCATTGTGCAAATTTGCTACAAAAGACATCTTTAATAAGTGTTTAGAGCATAAAGACATCACTTTGATGACTAAGGTGTGCCTGACCCAAGCCATGATATTTACAATCATCTTATATATGCAAAAGCTGGAAAAGTAAAGAAATGGTACATTCAAATTTTGATGTTGACAAGAATCACAATTATGACCTGTGTTGACATAGATCATGACATGTACTGCCAGAAGAATAAACTCCCTGGTGGCCTCACAGGGAAAGGAGTGCACTGCCAATGCAAGGATAGGCAGTTTGAATACACCAGATCCTCCACAGGAGAAAGATGGGCAATCCTCTCCCATGCAATTCAGACTCTGAAAACCCATCTGAGGGTCAGCTCTGAGTTGGTTCTGATTTGACTGCAATGACAGAAAGCAAGCCAGAAGAATGATTATCCTGGATGAAATACAGCCAGGATTTTCTTTAGCAGTAAGGATAGCAAGAATGCAGCTTGTTACTCTGGACTAAGTACTAGAAAGGGCATAATGGTTAGTAAAGCGAGGATCAATGATAGGAAAGCCCTTAATTAGATGGACTGAACAACATTTGCAACTGTTTGTGGTGGTTATTTTTTGTGATGATGGTGCATATCTCCGTTATCTAATACTGCTATAATAATATCACAATTGATGACTTTAATAATTTTCTCACAACTCAGGCCAGAAATTCAAATGCAGGATATCATTTCAAGGGGAAGACTTGCCCTCTTTGTTAAGTCTGGAGGAAGGTTCTTGATAATCTGCTTCTGCTTAATCTCTTTTATATCTCAAAAGAATTTGATTTCTGATACACCCCGTACTAATTCTGTAACATTAACAGAAGAAAGAAAACTCATTCCAAAGGGGGTTATAACCATGGCATAGCAGATCCTCAGCATACATTTTGGGAGGGACATGATTCTGTCCATAACAGTGCAGAAATGTTCATTCTTTCAAAATATAAGGTCACTACGGGCTGTAAGACTGGAACAGTACAACAGCAGAGAACTGCCAGAAGTCCAGGCTGGGTTTAGAAGGGGTCGTGGTTGTAGCTGATGTTAGATGATCTTAGCTGAAAGCAGAGAATACCAGAAGAAGGTCTATCTGTGTTTCATTGTTTATGCAAAGGCATTTGACTGCGTGGATCATAACAAACTGTGGCTGACTCTGAGAAGAATGGGAATCCTAGAACACTTGATCGTGCTAATGAGAAACCTATTCTTGGACCAGGAGGCAGTCGTCAGAACAGAGCAGGGCAAAACTGCATGGCTCAAAATTGGGAAGGGTGTTCACCAGGGATGTGTCCTATCTCCATACCTTTTCAACCTGTATGCAGAGCAGATTATCCGAGAGGCAGGGCTCTATGAGGAGAGGCGTGGCGTTAGGATTGGTGGAAGATCTATCAACAATCTGCGTTATGCAGATGACACAACCTTGCTCGCTGAAACTGGGGAGGACCTCATGCACTTACTGCAGAGGGTCAAGGACTGCAGCCTTCAGTATGGACTGAGGCTCAATGTCAAGAAGACAAAGATTCTCACCCCTGGACCAATTGGTAGCATCAGGATGGATGGCAAAGAGATTGAGATTGTTCACAGCTTCAGTTTGCTCGGCTCCACAGTCAACACTCTTGGCACCAGCAGCCAGGAAATCAAAAAACGTATTGCGATGGGAAAGTCTGCTGTTAGGGACCTCTCTAAAGTACTCAAGTGCAACGGTGTCTCTCTGGAGACTAAGGTGCACCTGATACAGGCCATCGTTTTTGCAATCACTTGTTATGCATCAGAGAGTTGGACAATGACTAGGGAGGATAGAAGAATTGACGCCTTTGAGCTGTGGTTCTGGAGAACAGTATTGAATGTACCATGGACTGCCAAGAGAACAAACAGATTCATCCTAGAGAGAGTTAAACCAGGCTACTTCTTGGAGGCAAGGATTCTGGGGCTTCGTCTGACATACTCTGGACATGCTCTAAGGAGAGACAGGTCTTTGGAGAGGGACATCATGCTGGGTAGAGTAGAGGGACAGCGCAGGAGGGGAAGACCCTCTATGAGGTGGATTGATTCAGTGACTGGAGTAATAGGGATGGGTGTGTCAGAGGCAATGCGATTGGCACAGGACAGAGCAGGGTTTAGGGCTGTTATACATAGGGTTGCTATGAGTCGCAAACGACTCGACGGCACATAACAACAACAACAACATGGGCTGAAGCCGGCTCAGTAACAGTAACAGCATAATTTCAATACAAAAGTATAAATACATAAATACTCCAACATGCATCACTAAGGAATACTTAGAGTTCAATATATTTCATAAAGCAATCTACTAACATGGCTAGTATTTTCAAATTATCAAATAAGTAAAAACAACCAATGTTTACCAAAGGAAAAGCAGTATGTGCTGTCAAACTGGAACTGATTCATAGCTCCAGCAGGTTTTCAAAAGCAGTAAACTGCACGGCAGGAAACTGCCCATCCTCCCATAGAGCAGTTGGTAGATTTGAACCACATGACTTTGGGACTGCAGTGCTTCTTCTTATCACTTACTGAGTTTTAAGTGAAACCTCTGTCCACATATAAGTATGCCATATGTAAAATTATACTATATATAATTTTAGTCTAGTCTAGATTCGACGAACATAACAATAATAGTTTACTTATGCTAGGCCAAAATCATATGTCCGTTACACCAAGCCCATTACAACAGCTTATAACATTCTAACTTATATAATACTTGATAGCAGTGTCTCTTCATATAATGGTCACATTAAATATTTAGCTGTTTATTCCAGGCTGGTGTGAAGTCATACTTCTCTTCCTAGAAGGAAAAGTGAACTAAGGAAATTTATTTTCATAAAGCAAGTCTTCCTTTCAAAGGCTGTCTGCCTTCTTTTCTTCATAGATGTATTTTCCAGAATTGACCAAATGGTCTTGAATTGTCTCTCGAGCATTTCTTTCCTGTGTTGCTTCCAAGGCATCCAGGAAAACGTTGACAGAGGCTCCCTTCCCTGTTTTGTGGAGCCATTTCATGAGCAACTTGTAGAGCTTCTCTGCAGGGCACTCTGCACTGTTTCTGGCCATTTCAATCTCATTATCTGACAGGCCCATCTTCCGCATGATTTTGTTCCAGGAATCATAGGGTACTATATTTATAAAGTAATCAAAGAAGGACTTCAAAGCTGTGTGGGGAAGAAGACACAGTAAGGTTAAATGAGACACATCTCAGAAAAGGTCTACAACTCGAACCCACTTCCCTTCAGTCAATTCTGATTAATAGCAAAGCTACAGGACAGAGAAGAGCTTACCATGGGTTTCTGAGGTTGTAAGTCTTTATAGAGGCTGACTGTCACATATTTTGCCCACTGAGAAGCTGTTTAGTTTTCAAACCACTGACCTTTCAATTAGCTTCCAAATGTTGTAACCCACTGCACCAAGAGGGCTAGATTAGAATAATCTCTCAGTTGTGGTCCACCTGCTGCTCCATATTCCTCAGTTGCTTCCCAACATTCAAAAGATAAGGCACCACTGCCCTGACCTCACCACACTCAAGGCCTTGGGAGCAGTCAAGGTCAACAGAATTCTGGAGGGCCACTGCTTAGGCTACACTTATCATGAGAGCCAGATCCCACGGCTACAGTGTTTGCCTGTCAGTGGAAGGAATAAGTGCTTGAAGGTCAGAGATCTCTGTGTGCACCCCAGTTCAACTTCACTGACTCAAGGTGCAAGTAAATTCTGAGCAACAATTTAACCTAAAAGACAGAAAACAACATCACCCATTTCACAGCACAATGTCTAAATCCACTGCTGCCCTCTTAATTCAGACTTACAGTGACCATACAGACTACCCAGTTTCCAAGTCTGTAAAACATTACAGGCTGAGACTGCCCATCTTTCTCCCACAGTGAGACTGACAGATCCAAACCACTAATTTTTCAGTGTTAGCACACTGTGCCACCAGGGCTTATCCTGGCACACTGGCAAGGATTAAACCAGATGCTTATGAAGGGTAGTGTAATCTATAGGGAGTTAGAAATGCTAATCCACCAGCCGCTCTGAGGGAGAAAGATGAGCTATTCCTTCCCGTGTGATTTACCGCTTTGGAAACTCAAAGGTGCGCCAGCTGAGTTGGTTCCAACTCAACAGCAATGAAAGAGAATAAAGTGCTCTGATATTGCTGTCCTACAGATGCATAAGGTATGTCATAAATACTGTATCTTACTTCCTAATGACTGTTAAAAGGGGAAAATGTGACAGTAATTTTAGTAATTAATTTCATGTAACTCAATATATGCAATATGACATCATTTGAATGGGTAATCAATAGACAAAAATACTAATGAGAAATAACTCATTCACTTTTCACATGGCACTACTATACAAAATACTTACTTTCAATGGAGTTTGCATCATTTGCTGGAACAAGTATTCTTTTCATCTGAAAGCCTTCAGCTCCTGGGGACCCCTTTAAAAGGAGCAGAGAACAACACCTGAATCTCAGTCAAGGACCCTCGATTCTAGAACTGACTATGGTACCCAGCTAGTTGTACAACATGGGGCATGTTAGTGCCCTTTCTGGGACTGAGAACAGAGAAAAATCTCCCAGCTCGTGTCCCTCATAGGTTCTGTTGGCTCGTTTCATTCACTGAGGCATAAGTGCAATGAGGTATACATGCCCTGCATTCTCCATTCCAATTCTGACAACTGTTCACACTTGTGTAATCAACACTCGAACAGGACACAGGTTATTTCCATGGCCACAGAGAAGAGTTGCCTTTTGCTCATCTAGTCAATTTGTTGTTCCTGGTTTGGCTGGCTCCTCCTCCTCAGGCTCGTGGGAGGCTCTCCTTGCCAGAAGGCAGGAGCGTGGTGGTGGGAGTGCAGGAATCGTGGCAAGCTTTTGGAGCCAACTGCTTTTCCGGGAATGTGTTTGATGTGCAGGTTTGCTCTGTCCCTGGAGTGAGGCTAGCCAGCCTGGGCCTAGGGTTTGAACCAGGAGGAGGCCTTAAGCCCAAAGGGCCCGAGGACCAAATTGTCCTCCTGTCAAACATTCTTCTAGGTGGTATAGCATTGGTCT